TGGCCTCGGATTCATTCCGAAACTAAGATAGTGAAACCATTATCAATTCAACTCTCTTTGATACACTGTTTTTAAGAACTGGATACTCTCCCGGCAGGGTTGATCAGGAAATTGCTCCCTCAATGCGTTTCTAACAGTGTTTTTCCATAAATCCTCCTTGGGTTCCTCGTTAATCGTAAACACAATTCTTGAGACTCTTGGACATCAAATGCTTCCGAGGAGTTTGTTGGATGAATGTGGCCATTGGAACGATAACAGTGCCCTCAAAGCCCTGGTGCCCCGCGCTACTGGGTCGCCATACATTTCAATTACAAAACCCGAAATAGACTTCCTGTCAGGATCATTAGCAAAATCAGTATCAGCATACAAAGGCAGCGGAATTTCAGACTGCCCCCTAAACCAAAGCCCCCAATTTACTGTCCCCTTTAAATATTTGATGATTCTACGCACTCCCTCGTAGTGCTTTTCAGTAGCGTAAGCCTGGAATTGACTGTATACATTAACAGTGTTATGTGCATAACTGAACCCCCTTTGGCGACGGTCCCCTCGGTGGAAACTGCCAGCCCTGCAGCGCGCGTGCACCACACCGTCAGCCGGTTCGAGCATAGCTCTTCCATTTTTCTTTCTCCTTTCAATTTCAATTTTTTTCGAAATTTCATTTTTCGTTCAAACGTCATCTTAATTGTGTATCTGTGATTCCATACTGAGTTGGCTTGGGTGTCCTTTTGTATGTTCAATCTAGTCTCCGGAAGGTGAACCTAGTTTTCACTTTCCGCTTTTCAGTCAATTTCCCCCGCGCCCACTACCTCTGGTGCGCCCCCGCGCCAGTCGGTAATCCGCGCCGCGAGCGTTGCGCTGGCTGACCTCGGCCGCCGCGCGGAGCTGGAAAGCCCCGGCCCCCTTCTCCCAGTAGGCACGCACTGTAAGGGCCAGGTCGACCCCCCCCCCCCCCCTTTCCCCTATCCGGAAACGGATAGGGCAAAGAAAGACAACACAGAAATTCAATTTTTCAATATAATTCACAATAAAGCCCCCCCCCCACCCGTACAGTCAGTAGCAATTACCCCTCCACGAGTACACCACGCGGCCCGCCTCGTGGGACCGCGTCCGGTCAAATACGGTTGTAGCTTTTGTCCTCATTCGGCGGCGAGCCCACTCAAACAGCCACCGCTCCTCTCCTTCTTCCAGGTGTAGTTCTCGCTGCTCCGAGCAGCCGTCGTAGTCCCGGGCCACCATGACCCAGGACCGTATCAGGCGGCCCCGGCGCCGCCGCAGCTGGCATTGGTGGATGCTTAGAGACACCGGGGGCACGGGGAGAAACCAGGGCGCAGGGACCCCTCCCACGCAATGCTCCCCCCACAGGTGCGCCCGGTGCCCCTCAAACACCTCCTTTTCCCGGTTGTGAGGGACAAAATGATGCCCCCTCCCTGGAAACAAGAACACCCTTAGAATTCACCCTCAGCACCCCACTCCCGAGAAATGTAGTCCAATACTTACGGTTTATGTAGCATAGCCCCCACCGGTCGCAGAACAAAGGCAATCCCTTTCTCTTCCATATTGATGCCCCACTCATGATGGGCAGTCGGCAGAGGTCACGGAAGGAGTCCATGTTTCCCCTTACGAAGACGGCGCGACCTGGTCCAGAGCCACAGAACGGTTTTTAGATAAGCTAGCTCTAAGTGGGACTCCTGCATGTACACTGTGAAACGAGCACTATATTTACTCACCTCTGTTCAAAAGGTTGATGCTCCGGTGCACAACGACTCAACTGCGGCGCTGAATTCCACTGGCGGCGGCGCACACACGGCAGGTCAACGGCAGTCCAGCGACAAGGAACGTGCAAGTGACCGCGACGAAGCCCAGCGAGATACTGCCACCCTCACCACTTCGTGGCAGCCCTTGGACGTCCCCGCCGTTCACCTGACGTCGGGCCTTCGGGGCCTTCCCCTGCATCCCAGCCACCAAGCCCGGCCAGGAAGGCCCCGCCGCGCCCATCGTCGCCGCAACGCGGGAGCCCGCTCCGAATTCAAACTGGTGACGCGTGTCCGGCTAGCCTGGACCGAGTAGGGCACGGTATGCGCCTCTCCCAGGGTGAATTCGGAGGGGGATTTCCCTCCCGCAAAGGGGGAGCTTCTCAAAGGGGTGTGTGATGTTATGTGCAGAACTGAACCCCCTTTGGCGACGGTCCCCTCGGTGGAAATTGCCAGTCCTGCAGCGAGCGTGCACCACACCGTCAGCCGGACCGCGCATCCGGCTCGACATCGCAGAATCGTGGAAATCTCCTAAGATCGCTCTCTCCAACCCCGCTGGAGGCAGCTCGGCCGGGCGGAGCGGGGGGCAGGGGAAGGGTGGCGTGACACCCCTCGCCTCACCCCCTGATCCGATCTGCTGGGTATTTAGTCTCCAAACGGCTCGGTCTCGTGGCCATTCCCGTCCGATCAGCGAGAGATTCTACGCCGCCACTCTGCCCGACGGAGCACCGAATCGAACTTTGTGTAAGACTCAGTGTAACAGTGCATTAAACCAGTGTGTCCCTGAGCGGCGTGTGTACGATCTACCCCCTGTCCAACCCCAAGAGAATCCCGAACCCACCGGGCATTGTGACCCAGCTACAGAAAGCGAATACACAATAACAGCAGTGCAAGTGTCAGGTCTTGTTGACATGCATGCATACATTAAACTACCAATAGCACTTCTATACGGACGTCTCCCAATAATAGAGGGATCGTTATTAATTGCAAGATCTGGATTAGTCTCCATTGGACTTTGGACTGGCTTTGCAGAGTCAGGGTCTAATTTTCTGATTATTTTTGAGACATAGTTATCTTGACTTAAAATCATTCCGCTGCTTGTTCTCCTGATTCTGATACCTAGAAAATATGCGGCCTCTCCCAAATCTCTCATTCAATTCAATTCGCATTTATTGAGAAAAACTTCAACAAGGCACTTACAGATAGAAACATTAACATAGCAATCATAAACTGCCTAAAAATGGAAAAAGACAACCCCTAAGCATGACTGCTTGTCAGGGGTGGATTTTCTGTCGTTCTGTCATAACAAACAAAAAAACAAGCAAACAAAAATCTTTTACAACTTAAATTCCACCTTTCTTTTTGTTATTTAGATTTTTCAATTGTTTGCACTTAAAATATATTGTTTTAATTTTGTTTTCATGGCACTTTGACTATTGATATTTCTTAAATCTTCTGCCATCTTATTTAGCACAACCACCTCTGTCAGTCTATCACCATACTTATTCATACTCATCTTATATCGGAAACTCTCACTTCTTGTTCTTATTTGATTACAGGGCATCATAACCTCATATAGTAACCCAAAATATTACCTGCGAATGATTCGCACAAGTGCTGGAGTCCCCACAAAATCAACTTCTCTTCAACTTTTGGATCGAGTTGTTGGGCCATTGTAGATGTAAAAAATCGTACTATTGAGATAAGGCAGGCAAGCGAGGTTCGTGTACTCGTCACAAGTCCTGTCTAGGCTTACGTCTGCACACTACGGCTTCCGAGATGAAAAGAGGGAGAACAAGCGAGCGTGGCGCGGAACCGGAACCAGCATGGCCGGGTTCGACGACGTTCGGCTTCGGCCCGCTTCAGCAGTTGGGCTGCGCACCTCGGAAGGCCTGCCGAAGTAGCTGCGTACACCTTCGGAAGCTGTCTCGGCAACCCGAAGTGTCCGCGCTGGCCGCCGAGTTCGCTCCCCACCCAGCGCATAGCTGTGGCAGCTGTGCCACCCACGAATAAGTAGCTGCAGCACCTATTTCCATTCCCCCGTGGAATCCCGACCCGACAGGGCGAGCTGCATTTGAACCTGTGCATATGGCCTACTGTTCTCATTTGGCTCAACGTCAAATTTACTTACAACATGGACTTTTGCTAATTCTTTCCGGGACATTTTAGTAAATTTTAGTACACTGCGAAGCTTTTGTCGTGTATCAGGGTGGCCAAAAGTTTGCAAAATGGTTCTTCCGTCTAATTTTGAGAAATTTTTTACCTCGATGAGCCCGTCTTCGATGAGCCCGACCAAGCCGTCGGGGCTGGCACCAAGGTGGGGGAGTTCGGGGCGTATGAAAATTCCGCACTCCACCACCTTGGTGCCGCGCAGCGCCTCGTATGCCTTCTTGGCGTCAACTTCGGCGGTATGGCCCTTCTGTATATGTTCCATTTTGCCAATGTCAGGCCCGTAGAGTATAGCCTTGACAAGATTACCCCGGCAAGTGGTGTCTCTCTTGCTCATAATCTCACCGGCCTGACAGGCAGTCACTCGGTCCTTTCTCAGAGTCTTGTAGTAGTCGTTGTTGTGCTGCCCCACTGTATCCACCGTTGCTACCCTCAAAGAAGTCGAATCGTCCGGGACTTGGTCGCAAAGTTCCCCAATGTTTTGGTCCTTGCGCTTTTGAAGCTCGTCGTCAGAGACTTCGGGTTGTTCCTGCAGTACCTGTTCCTGTGTCCGTCCGTAGTGTTCGTCAGGCGCACCGCCGGGGGAACGTTGTTATTTGTGCAAAAACGTGCGAAAGAGGCCTTGTTTGTAGAGTCCTAAAGGCTTCTTGGGGAGAACCGTCAACCGGAATTACGTTCTGATTTTGCATCTCATACCTGTGGAATGTTATGCCCTATTTCTCATGAACTGACGATCAAAATGGCGGTGTAAGCGAGAAGCGTTGCTTTGTTTGTATTTCACACGTCAAAACGTCAAAGAACCTCAAGATTTGTATTATTTATCAGTATCATCTATAAATACTAGTATGTAAAAAAAATTCCTGGTCGCTTCTTCTCCTCTTTTTGAGGTCAATGACTTCAAAGGTGAACAAAATGGGCCCAAGTCTAATCTATGCACTATCACAGTTTATTATGTTGGAACTTGGGTTTCAAATTCCGCATAAGAACAAAGTAAAAGCAATGATTTGATGTTTACTGTTTTATTGGTCAAGTATTTTTCGAACCTAGCATTATAGGTGTCACAAAGGAATTAGTAAATATACAAAAAGAAACGAATATACAAATTAACAGACATACAAATACACAGAAATGGAGGTGATGCAAATAATGCAAGTAAATGACACAAATAAATGAGCAAATTTACATTTTTCACTGATGTTGAAATTTAGCTCTCAAATTAAACAATTTATCTATTTTTTTATTTAACATATGTAGAAATTGAACGGGCGGGCTCCCAACGATCCAGTCGGGGTCCTTGCAGGTGAGCCCCTTGCTTTTCCTGTGTAAACATCTTTCCACCAGCACGCAGTCGCGGAAAAATCTCTCCATTGTGCCTACATCTTTTTTCCACTTGTTGGCGTCTAAAGTAATTCTTTGTACAAATAAATCATCATTAGTATATACAATAAGGTTACAAAAATCGTGCTCTGTGAGCGCCAGTTGCCCCTGGATCTGGTAGTAATACTTGTGGCTGGTTTTGAGTTGCATGACGCCTTCCTTCGTCAGCTCCAAACAAATATCGGCAATTTTCTTACCCTTCTCGCTGGCCTCTGCCCCGATGTCCGAGACCGTCACCCCCGATGCCTTGGCCAGCCTTTGCCTGAGCGCAGTCTCCTTCCTCTTTTCAGCGGCCTCCTCTCGCAGACAAGCCTTCTCCAGGAGGAAAAGCCGGAATTTCTTGAAGGGGGCGATGGTGTTCGGGTGGATGCATTTCACCTCCAGGAGGCCGTCGGTCCCCAGCAGGCGTTCGGGCGAGGTGCACAAGAACGGCCATTTCACGTTGAAGATGAGACCGTACTCACTGTAAAAAAAATATGTCCTGTCAATGCCGTTAACTTGTTACCAGTTTTCACTGTAGGTCAATTCACAGCGTATATACTGTGATCTGCTCACGCGATTCACTGTGATCTTGTTCGCGGTGTTCACTGTGATCTGGTCCACAGTAAAGACTGTGAGTTTGACGCCGCTGAGCACCGAAGTACTGCAAATCAGGCTCAATTCACGGCGTTTACTATGGCCAGATCACAGTGAACACTGTGACCGAGATCACAGTGAACGCCGTGAACTAGTTCACAGCAAACGCTGTGAATTGCATAACAACAAACATTGGTAATAATTTAACGGCATTGACAGGACATTTTTTGACAGGACATTTTTTGTACAGTGGCTCGCGCACCTGCCTCTGCTCGTCGGCGGGCAGCTTGGACTCCACCTCGTCCACGTACTTCTGGACGGCGACGGCCTCGTTGTCATTGCCATACTTCACCGGGCCGTCCATTTCTCCCAGGTTCGTGTTGGCAGCGTAGACAAAGGCGAGAACCAGGGCGTGGCACGGCATGGTGTCCTTCCGCGTCGCCACATTGTAAAAGCGCGTAGAGGGAATGACCAGACGCCGCAAGCGGTGCCACTCCCCGCTGTCGGACTGGCCGCGGGTCTCTTCCTTCGCGGCGCGCTTTTCCGCGGTGTCGGAGATTTCCACAGTCTTTTGCCATTCCGCCGCCATCGCATCATCAAACGCCTTGCCGGATATGTCAGGGTCCGCGGCAAGGACTTCCTCGGCGGTCTTGTCAGCGTCCTTGCCCGCGTAGAAGGGGTCCGGCTTGGCCCCGCGGCGCTTATTCTTGGTGGGCTCACCGTTGGCCTGCTTTTCGGCGTAACGGAGCCGCTTGCGCGCCGCGTGCCTCTGCCACCATTCGCCAAGCATTTTGACGCGGGTTGGCGTCCTCTTCTAGTGGGCGCGCAGAGGCGAAACCATCCAGCCTGGCCCCCTGGAGTGCGACAAGGATGCCGCCGTGATACGCAAATCATAGCGCTGCCCCTTGTGGAAGGCAATCCGCTTCGCCGCGATGAGCGTGGCGACCAACGCCATGACGCCACGACGCGAGGCCGTTCGTCGTCACGTTGTGGACCAAGGAGTCGGCCTTCCTCGCCACGCTATCGCAGAGCCTCACGATCTCCTGGAACAGGCCCCACGACTTGGCCTGGTCCGCGAGATCCTCTTCGCTGTCCTTGGGACCCTGACAAAAGCGGGCGCAACACTCTGCCACAAGCATAGTAAAATTTGTTGGTTTTATTGTCAAAAGAAGAAGAAACAGCTCTAATTATTATTATAATAATCACAGAGACTCTCTGCCATTTTTTGAACAAAGTCGGGCTTGTCTCTTGACCAGTCCAGTATTCCATTAAAGCAGCGCCCAACGTGATCTTCCTCCTCCTCCCCCTCACGATATCCCTCCCCAAAATCCACCTCCACCATCCCTTCTGGACAAACAACTGTATTTCCTTCGTTTCGCAGGTCTTGCAACCACTTGTCGAGGCAACCCTCCGAAAGTTGACAGAGCCTTTGCCATCTTTATACGGAGTAATGCAAAACAGCTCAAAATAAGAAAATATTCCGAAAAATTGTGTTGCATTGCGGGCATTGCAATGCATCGTGTGTTCTAGAGGATTCGGGCCTCGACAAGTCGGGTTCGCGTGCCCGACCCGGCCCGACCTGGCCCGTTTATGGCCTCCCTCATCACCCGCTGTCACTCGGCGAGCTCGCACTACACAGCGAGGAAAATAAAAAAAGCTAGGAGGGAATCAGCTTAGAGGGGAGTTTTACTATACTCTGGGTCCTGCGCTGGATAGTTCGTACTCCAGGCAAGGGAATCAAAATATCGTTAGCAGTTTTCCGACCTGAAGTTCCACCTGATAGCCTCATTTCAATTCCCTTGTGAACGGAATCCAAGGTCCACTTTCTGCCTTCACTATTACCAGTCTGTGAAGCCTGAAGTTGGTCAGTGCCAAACTTGCTTTCCAGCCACTCCTTTCGCCTGGTTGCAATCTGCTCCAGGGTGAGAAAATTTTCTTGCGTCTTCGACAACGCATTTCCAGTTTCTGCCACTTTCCTCTCAACTATGACCAAGCTTTGTCGAAGACTTTGATTCTCTTGCTCCAGCTGAGTGCAGCGAACGTTCGTTGGGTGATGCTTGAAGACACGAATGATGCTGTGGTGAGGCGGTGTTGTAATGTGGTTATATGGGATGCAGGGATTAAGTAAATACGTTCAAGTAAGAAAAACCAGGATTCGGACAGATATATTCTCACATTCTATACAGTACACGAACACGACACCCGCGAGAGTGATTCGGGAACCGGAAACCCGCCAACTGCATCTACTTGCACATTCACACATTCACATTCACATCTCAGTTCATGAGGCTAGAGCTTGAGAATCTACCGCACGAAGACCTACCGCCAGGGTAGGGCCGGCTGGTAACTTACCGACTGGGCAGCTACCCGACACCGACAGATAGCGCTGGTGTGGTGAAAGACGCCCTCAGAGAGTTCCTCAATTTGCTGCTTGAATTTATGTACTTCATCATGAAGTGACAAATTTGATTCTTCAGCACTTCAGCACAGTTTAGTCTTGATTTCATCCTTACGTTAAAATAAGGAGCACTCTGCAGACGACTTTCTGCGATCTTAAAGTCGTCTTTTATAGCTTCGTACTTCACGGGTGGGCGAGGAAGCGGATCTTGGTCTAGAGGGCCTTTTTTGGTGTCACGTCACTGTCTACGGGACTTTCCAAACACGCCCAGACCACTGCACTGTTTATGATAAAACTTGCTAGTCCCCAGGAAGTTGACCCCTCCCAGGAAAACCATCCTTTCTCGCCTTTCTTCTGCTCCCTGTCAAAATCAACCTCGGACTAGTTATATTCTCCCGACTAGCGCCTTAGCGAGTTAGGATTTTTCCTAGCGCCCAGGCGAGTAAGGATGGTTTTCTTAGGAGGGATCGAAGTGTTCTATATATTTTTTTTTTTATCTTGGAGCACCATCCGATCGGCATTATGCACAACATGTTATCCACGGTACATACAGGTTTGGTTAGGGTAGGTTCTCCGAAGCTGTTACCTAGGCCTCCGCTAGGCGGCAGCACCGACCACTAAGAACGGAAGAGGTGTTAAACATCACCTACTGTGGTCCGTATTACCCGCTTTTACGGTACGGTTACAGGGTTCCTCGAACCGCTACCGGCAGATTCCAGACCTAAAGGGCAAGCCATTTGCGAACGCCTCATGGATTTGGACCAAACTTGGTATACCTATACCTTTTGAGTCAAAAAAATTTTTGGTAAATTTTTTTTTTCAAAAATTTTTTTGTTGTTTAAAATAAAAAAATGTTTCTAGACAATTTGACGTCATCACCAAAAGTGCTCAAAATTTCACCAAAGACTCATCATTATGTTCTCTTTTCACCTGCCAAGTGCCAATACGGTTAACTAAATACTTAGGGAGATATTAAAGTTTACGAGTCCAAAAGAGACCAAACCCATTAATGATTTTCACCTAGATTTGCTTCTATTCGAGTCAGCAGTCATATTTCGACGAAAGTAAAGCTTCGTCTTGAAAAATTTAGAACCAGACTTGATATTTATACTGAGAATGATGCAATTTAAGGCCACATAAGGAATATTCAGTAATATTTAGTCTTTTCTATGTTTATTAATTCAATTGTTTTTATTGTATTTTGAAAGTTGAATTATTAGACATAGAAAAGACTTCACTGAATATTCCTTATGTGGCCTTAAATTGCAACATTCTCAACACAACTATCAAGTCTGGTTTGAAAAAAAAAAAAAATTTCACCAAAATTTTTTTTGACTCGAAAGGTAAAGGTATACCAAGTTTGGTCCAAATCCATGAGGTGTTGGCAAATGGCTTGCCCTTTAGGTCTGGAATCTGCCTACCGCGCCCTCAACCAAAATGAACGAATGAAGCAAGAACTAATCATATGTGCCTATTTCATACTCACGAAGAATTTTGGAGCATTTCTTTCACGTCAGCTACGAATCGAGCTTTCGTTATTTCTGGCATGGGCAGCATTCTTGCCATGCCGTTGCGCACTACTTTGTCCACGTTTAGAAATTGATCCACAAGCAGCGGTACGCCTAGCATTGGAACGCCGTTGGAGGAGGACTCGTGCGTGCTGAGCCCGCCGCAGTGCGACACGAACAGGCGCAGCTTGGGGTGCCCTGCCAGGAAGCACACAAATATAGTTCAAATATACGAAGCTTGGAAACCTGGAAAGCAGTGAAAACCAATTTGCCATATCCGGGGAAACCACACTGTTAGAAGAGAAGTCGTTATTTTACAACAGTAATCCCCACAATTAGTGTTGTAATTTTAGAAACAATTATTCGTAAAATAACGACAAGACTCAGGAAATGAACAATTGCCATTTTTTCGACAAACCTTACTCATAAATTAAGAAATAAATAAGTAATTTTACGGTGAAATCTTGATGTTACTGACGAATGATCGTAGTTTTCCTGATAAAATCGTTGTCTTACGACTATTCTCGTTTTATCATGCGTAAACTTGTTTTCTTACAAATCAAAGCTTACTTTTACGAATATTTGCCTGTTAAATCTGTGTCGCGAACTGCTTGTTTTTTTTTACAAAGTAAATTGTCAATTGACAAATTGTCTATCAATTTACAAACTGCCTCTTAAATTTACAGGTGAAATCGTAAATTTACAAGTATAATTGTAAAAGCAAGTCTGAAAAAAATATTTTCTTACTATACAGGAAGAAAAAGTGCCTGAAACGGCCAAAATTTGAGGATTAAGTTTGTAAGTTAAAAAATATTTTTCTACATTTTTGTACATTTTTGTACATGGATGATCAGATCGTTTTTGAAATTAACAAGCAGGTCGTCGTACAGATTTAACAGCAAACTAATCGTAATTTCACAAAATAATCCCGAACAGTGCAAATGTAACTTTGAAACGGGGGAAACATCAGGGAGTTTCGCAAAATTTGTATTTGATCTAAATGATTGCCTGATACTAGAGGTAATCAATCATCCGCGGCTCCTTCAATCGAGAGCTTTCGTAGGTTCTAAGCCCACAGTCGCCACGATGGCGGAGGTAGACTGTATCTGATATGGTAACAAGAATCGCGAAATACCACGAAAATCTCGCGGAACCCGGCATAATTTTGACGCGAAATCCTGAGAAATCTCCACGAAATGTGGAATAAGTGGTGCCCCCTCGATTTAAGTACGTAAATAGACAATGACCGCGACTTTGCCGCGGAGAAAAGGCCCCGTGGCCCGCGGCTGAAAGGCCCCGCGCTTCGCGTGAGGCCCCGGGCGCGTTCGCGCCCCCGCGGCCGGGCCAGTCCGGGCCTGAAAAAGACGACAGTCAAATGTATCAGTAACAGTTTAACACGATACTTCTGAAGAAAAAAGAATGTAGCAGCGATGCATTTGGAGTGCCTGTTTTCAATCTGAAATTCCGCGTGAGGTAAGGTTCCGACCGATACACTCTGAGAAAAAATAACGGTAAATCCTGGATAATTTTTTTGCCAAACTTTGCCGGACTTCAAAAACCAGTATCCACCGTACAGCCTACAGTATTTACCGTACTTGTTTTACAAAATATTCGGTAGTTTTTTAACAGTAGTTACCGTTCTTCCGTACAGTCCATGCCAGATCTGGTCCCAACAAAGGCCACTTCCAAGAACTGTCCACAAAAGGATCTTGAAAAAAGGGGGTCAACCAACTGAAAAATTTTATTGCATCTTTCGATAGGTCTCGTCAAGACCTTTACAACGAGTGGTCGGAAGGGGGGCCCAGGACTCCGACTTTAGCAGTTGCGTACATCAGGAACTTGGAAAAAGAGAGTCAACCGTCTGAACAAAATTATAGCAGTTTTTGATAGGTATTAAAAGTACGGGATTCCATGTAAAAAAAAGTACGGTATTGCCTGTAAAAAACGACTGTATTTCCTGTTAAAAAGTACGGTGAAGTCTGGAGTAATCAGTACAGGATTTACCGTGATCTTTTCTCGCAGTGTATGGCGTATAGAGACACTTTTTCTAAGAAGTCCGATCGAAAAACATGACCAGCGCCGATTTCATCGCAAGTTGCGTCAACGGTACCCCCTATGGGTCTAAGAAAAGCCCTAAAATATTAGGGGCGAAAAACGCATGGTTTGGATTTTATTCACGATTTTCGTTTTCTCTGACACAATGTAGGTGAATTTGGTCAAAATGTAAAAATCGATATTGCTCGGTCCCTATCGGCTCCAGCTGTCTAAAAATTGTCTTTTTGTAATTGTAAAATCGGCCGAGGAACAAGTATCCGGCGTCGGTTTCCCGACTGGACTGCTCCAATGGCTGTTTTCCCATTTTTTCAGTCATTTCTTGTATCTGGGGTTTTAGTGATGGACATCGATTTTGAACGATCCCGGGGTGGAATTTGAAGATAAAGGATCAAACTTTAATATTCCGTCATAAAAAGTTTGTGTATAGGGCAACCCTAGCAGCAGCTACAAAAAACGTGAAAATGCATGTTGTGGGCAGAAAACTGCCCCTTTTTTGTTCTTTCCACGGGGTTACCCCAGCAGGTATACAGTCCCACCAGGTATAATCCCATCAGGTATAATCCCACGAGGTATAATTCCCGCCAGGTATAATTCCCAGCAGATATACACTATTTTATTTTATTTTAATTTACACAGATTCCCAACAAGTATAAATCCCACCAGATATACACCTATTTCATATGTAATTATATGTATTTCTTTGAACGGCGCGCGGTTCGTCAGTGCGTCGTCTGCTCCGCTGCTCATGTCACCAACGCCCTCTCTGCGGAGAAGTTAGGAACTACGGCCGTCCGGCGCTGCACAGCAGTGCGTCAGTGTCAGTCCGCCGTCCGCTCCGTGCTTCGCCGTTCCGTGTTGTCCAGTCCCACCGTGCTTCGCCGCTCCGTGTTTATCTCTCTCTATGGAGACTCGGCGAGTGCCCGGCAAACTTGGGAAAGGGTTTACTTACACCAACGGAGATGGATATTTCTTCAAAATTAACGGTCGAAGGAACGGTAATGTTTACATGAAGTGTACGGAGTGCAACATGCGCGGGAAACTGGAGGGAGAGCGTCTGATTGTCAACGCCACTGGACTGCACAGTCATCCACCAGACTATGTGACAGAGAAAGTGCTGCTTCTCAAGCAAGATTGCAAGGAAGAAGCGAAGAAAATGCTGGGTGGCAAGATTCAGAGCGTGTTTACTCAAGCCTGCGATAGGTAAGTGTTACGCTAGGATGTGATGCCTGTTGTCTGCCTGGCGTGACGTTTGTCTCGACTAGTGCACCTGTTCTATTTATTTACCTGTTGTGGTGACGTGCAGGGCTGATGAGGGTGCGCGCTCAGAAATCACCTTCGAGTCATGTAGATCGTCGATGTACCGGGCTCGCTCTGAACAGCACCCGCCCGTTCCGCAGGACTTCGAGGAGTTTGAGTCGTCCCTTGTTGACCAACGGTACTCAGACAAGTATGGCAAGTGTCCTGATGGCTCTCTTATGACCCGAGGCCTTGTGGGACCATCAGGTCACAGGTCACTCGTATTTACGAGTGATTTGATGCTCAATATTATGGTGGCTGCTCTCTGGCTATTTATTGATGGGACTTTTGCTAGTCGGCCTGACACGCCCCCATCTCGTCAGCTGCTCGTGATCTCAGCTTTGTATCAGGGAATGGTGAGGAACGAACTGAAAGTGGAATTTATTCGCAAACTTACGGTAACGTACGCTAACTTACGCATCCTGTTTTTTTTACAGTTGTTCCCAGTGTGCTATGCGCTCATGGAATCGAAGTCGGAGGTTGCATATCGTGCATTGTTCGCATTTGTGAAAGATTTGGCGCCATCTCTTGCACCGGAGAACATTGTTACTGACTATGAGGCTGCATTCGTACCAGTGATCAGAGACGTTTTCCCTTCTACTATCCACCAGGGGTGCTGGTTCCATTTCTGTCAGGCATTACATCGCCACTTGGGTTTCCTCGGGCTCATCACTTTTGTGAAGCGCAACTTTAATGCATTGACAGTGATCCGAATGTGCTATGTTCTTCCTCTTCTTCCTTCGAACAAAATGATCTTCGGTCTCAATGCTATTGAGTATGTAGCTCATATGAACGGCATTCTGGGAGAGCTGCAGCCGTTCCTGGATTATGTGCGTGAAACTTGGATGGTCAGAATCGGCACTGACCTTGTCAGTGTACACCGTTCCAAGCACAGAACGAACAACTTCTCTGAATCAAGTCACAAGGCACTTCAGGATCGGATTGGAACAATTCGCCCCGGAGTGTGGGACTTTGTCAGTAAGTAGTACCTGTCATTAGTATTGTCATTGTCGTGCGTCATCGTCCATTTTCTTATTCACATGCACTGTGATTGCAGAGGCCATCAACTTCGAGTTGATTCAGGCTCACTTGGATGTGATCCGTGTCCAGGGTGCCAAGCCAACTCGTAGAAACGATACCCAGGACGGACAGGATACCCAGGCTAACGAGGATGTTCAGGACGTGTTGCAGCCACTGCCACTCCTCATGCCACCAGGACACGTCGACTTCAGCACACGTCTCACACTAGAGACTGACCAGTTGTCGCAGGATCTTTTCAGCACTCAGGATTTTGTCACCGAACATCCTCTTTCGCCTCTTTCCCCTCCTGTCCAGGAACGTGGTGAGTTTCGAAAAGGGTCAAAGGTTGCAGCATGTTCATGTAATGTTCCGTTTGGTTGACGGCTATTTGTTTTCTCAGACCTCCAACGTGGCTCAGTCAGACGGGGTCCTGGTCGTCCTCGCCTGCGCCCTGCTGCGGTTGCACGAGCTCCTCCTTCGCCAACCGACGAACCAGATGCTTCACCTGTCCGTGGAAGGCGCCGTGGAAGGCCGCGCCTCGCCCGTGCAGCAGGAGCAGCACCTGTACGAGGCCGTGGACGAGGGCGTCCACGGGGCCGGCCGCCAACGCGAGGACGCGGACGTGGGCGTGGGCGTGGACTGCGCCTCTCTGATTCAGAGCCAGAGGAGCTCCCGGAGGACGCGGCTACAGTGCGCGAGGTTAGAGCGGTTCAACAGAGCGTCCAGGAAGCTGCGAACGCCGCCGCAGCCCGCGCTGCCGTTGTCTTAGACGAGGATCCATCAGGTAGTGTTGCAATCACAATCTATGCTCTTTACCGCGCATGCTGTCGTTATTTACGTCCTTTTTTATGTCGACAGACTGCTGCAGAATCTGCCTTACTGAAAACAGGACCCATGCAGCCATCCCATGCGGCCACCGTATTTTCTGCGGGCAGTGCGCAGGCACTGACGAGTCCAAGCTGTCTCAGTGCCCAATCTGCAGAGCAGAGATTATCATGATTGTTGAGATTTTTAACTGATGTACCATTTGTTTACATTTTACCTTTTAATGGTTTCTTTTAATTGTAATTAAACTTTATCAAGCAATTGGTTTTTTTTTAAGAATTTATACCTCGCGGGACTTATACCTACTGGGATGTATACCTGTTGGGAATTATACTTGCTGGCACACATTTTTTAAATTAATAAATACGTGTATATCTGGTGGGATTTATACTTGTTGGGAACCCGCGTTTATTAAATTTAATTAAAATAGCGTATATCTGCTGGGAATTATACCTGGTGGGATTATACCTGGTGGGACTGTATACCTGCTGGCATCACCTCCTTTCCACAGGACTGCGGTGGGAAAGCAGCGTGCTCCAGTGTGAGGTAGGCCTTCTGAGGCGCTGGCACTCATGTGGAAGCAGCGCACCTAAGCTAGGGACCTAGCTCGGTGGCTGTAGTGGCTGGCTTCGGACGACATCCCTTCAACCTTTGTGTGAGGTACTTTCCTCCAGCGGTTTTGCTGGAGAGATGTTGGCGGGTTAAATTCTGTACTAATACTGATTTGACAGAAATTAGCTTCAATGTGCAAGGGTAGCCCTGACCGGCTTACCGACGGGAATCCCGCTAATCTCCAAAGTATGTAGGTTCGATCATTGATTGATCTTTGTGCACGGAGAGGGTAATGATGGAGATAGAAATGAACAGTGAACAGGGAAATAAGTGTATTCTTACCAATTTCGGATTTTTTACAGCAACGTGGGGTGCCCCTCCCCCCCCCCCCCCCTCTCTCTCTCTCTCTCTCTGGTCTTCTCACACAACAACTAGTCTTCTTGGCGACGGGGATGAGAGTGGCCGAGTTGTAGGCTTTCGGACAGCGCGTCCCCGGAGCGGTAGACCAGCTCTTATTTTGCGAAAGTGAGAATTCCGCTGGGTTTCCCGACTCAAAATGACCGAAATGGTGAGAAAACTCTTAATTTGAAAGCCCAAGGTCGTCAGACTTACCAAAGCCGTGCCCCAAGACCCTATATAAAGGCAAAAAGCCAATTTTTTTTTTCGGATTTTCACCAAACTAAGTTTGACTCTAGGGTAAACAGGCCATAAAACGACCCTTTGGACGAAAATTTCGTCCGTTTTGCGATATCTCGACTCCTTCATGCCCAAACGGCCTCCCCAACCGTGAGCATAAAAAAGACGCCGCGCGGGCGGTTGGGGAGGCCGTTTGGGCATGAAGGAGTCGAGATATCGCAAAACGGACGAAATTTTCGCCCAAAGGATCGTTTTATGGCCTGTTTACCCTAGAGTCTAACTTAGTTTGGTGAAAATCCGAAAAAAAAAATTGGCTTTTTGCCTTTATATAGGGTCTTGGGGCACGGCTTTGGTAAGTCTGACGACCTTGGGCTTTCAAATTAAGAGTTTTCTCACCATTTCGGTCATTTTGAGTCGGGGAACCCAGCGGAATTCTCACTTTCGCAAAATAAGAGCTGGTCTACCGGAGCGGGCTGCTGGACTCCGGACCGGCCCGGCGCCAGCCCTTCGGCAGTCCTTCGGGTCACCCTCGGGTCGGCGAGGTGCCCGACGTACCCCCACTCCGCGCGCGCCGCGAGGCCGCCGTCGTACACACTGCAAGGCAGGCGGGGCCTCGTCGCCCCGGCCGCGCCGCGCGCTGCGCGCCACGCGCCCAAGTGAACGTCTTCCTCGGTGTTTAAAACAATCACATCTGCAGCCTCCTCATCATCAGCCTCGGACTCAGTGTGATCCCCTATGAATCCTTTCGTTCTGGAAACAAATGGTCCTACGTTACCAAACTGAGCGCAACAAAAGCAAGACTACCATGTGGACTCAAGGAACTCGCTTGCGCATGGTTATGTGCTCGTCCAAGAAGCACATATGCTCGAAGAAGGTGAAGGGCTTCTTCCTGCGCGTACTTTCTGCGCTGGCTCCACTTTTGCCCTCCCTCCTGATCTTCCGCTCAGCTCGGTAAGAGCGTTCCAAGGACTCCCATGTCTTGCAACACGTATCTGAGGGCCCTGGAATGAGGTTCAGTTGAGACAAGGGTAACACATAATATGCAGCAACATGTACAAGTACACAAGTATAATGTATATATTTACAGTGCAGAGCTGCTCCAATTTCCAGCCACGTTTTGGCCTTTAAGCCGGGATCTTTATACGACTCATCGCCTCGAGCGTAAAGACATCTGTTGTTTCGCATCTCTTCAATTAACGACTCCTTAAACCTGTCCATCACCCGATCCATACGGGCTTTGGACTCAGGCGACAACTTTTCTTTTTTACCGCCCATCTTCTTGGGGGCATCTTGACACTTGGAATACTCTACTTAATACAAAAAACAAACAACAACCACGCCGCACCGAAAACCTAACCTTCTCCCTTGGCTGCGCTGCGACGAGTGGACGAGAGTCGAGAGCGGAAATACGTCATCGCTGCTGACCCCCTCCACTTTGAGAGCTCAAACGCGCTCCACTTGGCAACAAAAGACGACGTGGCCTCTCATTGGTCAGATTCATATCTACCGCGCCTTGCTACGCCAACTTGTTTTAGCGTAAGGGCCTAAAATACATCCTGATCCTGATGGATTAGGGCTTAAAACCAACAGCCCGTCGTAGCCATTCTGCGTAGCGTAAGGGCTTGTCATAGCGTAAGAGCACCGTAAATGCCCCCATATAAACACACGCGATGGAATTTTCGTTTTAGCGTAAGAATCTTGTAAAAGCGTAAGGAAACTCGTAATAACGTAAGGAAAACTGAGCATAAACCCGCCGTTACCCCTAACTAAAAGAATCATTTTTGGCTGAGCGATAGCGAAGCCTGTTACTCCAATGGGGTTGAAAAGTTTTGTCTGTCTGTCTGTGTGTCTGTGTGTCCGCACTACTCCTCCTGAACGGCTCGGCCGATCTCGGTGAGATTTTGCACACTTCTTGGGTATGTCCTTGGCTCGGCACACGCGAAATTTCACCATCCTAGCTCAACTGGTTCAGTTTTTATAGGCGAAAAACACCTAAAAAACGGCGAAAAATAGAGATTTCTGCACTCTAAAAAAAATTGTGGTAGAAATCCTATAAAAGTATCGGACGCATTTAACCTATTCGGTATAGGAATTTTCCCACATAGGACATGGTAATTTTACCATCTGCCGATATGGCAAAAATCCTATACGTGTTGTTCGGTTTCTACTGTATTAGGGTGTGGGAAAACTACTATACCGTGTATGGTAAAAGTCCCATACGAGTTGTGGGATATTTTCGTTACGTGATGTGGTGATAATCCGATACCCTCATAGGAAGGCTTACTATGAGAAATAGTGAACACATTCCGAGAGAACATGGCGCCAGCGGCACTACCATTCGGAAGGCATATTAAAAATTAAAGTCACTTTCTCTCTCTTATAGAGAGCTTCTTCCACCTAAGAGGCAGCTCAGTCCATTCCCGGACTCTGTACCACAAGTCGGATCTTGCGTGCACCCAACCTAATGGCCGACCGCAGTCGCCAGCGAGTGGCAACATGGAAAAGCGTTTTTCTCGACTATAGTGTCATATTTTGTATAAAACTGAAAGCCAACGGCTAGGGCTGACACTTACTTAGGCAACAGATGATATATTTATCAAAAATTATTTACTTTCGTAACATAAATCGGAAATACTTATTGGTGAACGGGCACGGCGCTCCAAGCGCCACCTAGCGGCAGGTTTGTGCAACCTGACGTCAGGCGGCTGACAGTGGGCCATACCCTTACCCACAGCTCACCTTTTACAAGGTAACTTAACAATAGACGATGTCAAAATGCTTTGGAGCGCTACGTTTATTTTCAGCTTCATAATAATATAACTTTAAATTTCGCAAGGATTCAAAACCATGGCTCATCTACATAAGTAGTTCTGAGTTGCCGCGATTTTCAGAGACAAACCCATTTCAAGTTTCAATGAAGAAGTCAAAATTATCTAAAACCAGATGTGATAATGGGCCAGAACAAGATACAAAATAAGTTTAAACCGGTTTTAACGAATCTCGTCTAGTGCCAATTTCTATTAACGGTTTGACGTCACATGAGCCTTCTTTACTTTTCTCTGAGCAGCTTTGCCGCCTTAGTCATTGTGCCGTTAGCCTGTTATTAATATTAAACGTCTGTTTTGGTCCCCTCTCTCCTGAAAAAATATTTCAGAAATGTTTGTGATTCTTACTAATGGGTTGTAGGAAAAGCAGTATACAATGGCCTGAAGTAATAGGATTTCTACCAAAAAGTGTGGGAAAAAACCGAACACGAGTATAGGAAATCAGATTCCTATACTACGTTCGGTTTTTTACTACACCGCATTGGCAATTGAACGAAAAGCATAGGAATTTTCCGAATCACGTATAGGATTGTCGTTTCCCATACCGAAGTTGGTACTTTTACCTTACGACGGTGTAGTAGAAATGCCATTATTTTTTAGAGTGTGCAGATAGACCACTTCTGTCTTGGAGAAAGGGGGGTCTGGGGGGCCCAGCCACGACAAGTTAAAAAGTGACAAGGGTCAAGATCGTGTTATCTG